TTCAATTTTGCAGTTTTCAAAAAGTGATGGTATAATGATGGATATTGTAAACGTTATTATGTTAACAATGTATAGCAATAGAAAACAACATATTATTAATACACCAGGACCTTTGGCTTTTAAATTGGATTGTACAAATCATTCAGTGTTGTTTATAAATCTATCATTTGAGAAATTCATAGAAATTGTGTCAGTGCCTACACTTTAGAATCCGAAAGGCCTGGCGTTGAAGGTACATTGCCTGTATTTCTACCCGAATAAATATTACTGGTTAAACACAATAGGTAAGACAATAAATTAATTGTAAATCATTGGTGGCATGCTTCGGTCAACAATCATCATCGTATATTTGTAAATTTATGTACGAACGAAGACAAGAACATGTTGCAATCAATACTACTGTCCATCCGCAGCTAACTTCAAATATGTATGTGAATGAATTGCTGAAATCTACAATGGAATGTCATCACAATGTCAAATTTTACAAATGAATTTAACGCAGCAAACTTTATTATATGACAGTCGTGGAAAATATGATGATAAATGATAAATGATCAGAAAAATATCCTTGCCCATCTCGGTGGTAGTAACCTTATACACTATTATAGCAATACAACATCAATAGTCCGATTGGTGTAGAAAAATGAAATGAAATGGGGTTTAACGTCCTACTGATCTGCTCCGACTAGGCTAATGAAGGCGGTCATACGCTATACAGTGTGCTGTGAGGGAAACTTTGCCCGGATAGCGGCGCTACAGCCTACTCTTCTATTGAATTCTAACCTTCAGGGTTTTTTTTACGTGCACGCCAATATGTACATGGGGCGTGGGTTTTTCGTCTCAATCGAACGACTATACGTTATCACTTACCCATCTTCAATAGAAGGCTTGATCTCACATTAACTACGTACATCTTATCAAGGCCTTCACGTAATACCCTGCATATTTTGGCACTAATTTCTATTGGGTACAAGCCCAACTTGTGAGCCTATCAGATTCCTTGATCGTCGCGAATACCAAGTCTCGCGCTTTCAAGCTAAAATGTCTACCTGTGATAATCGAGTTGCAAAGTTCAAGGTTCATTCAATGTCAAGGTTTCCGTGGAGGTCGCGATGTCACAACCTATGATGGGACGCTACTGCTCACGTTTCTGTAGATAACATAGTTATAAGTTTGGGAATTGTGAAGTAAACAAGCAACGGCCAGATGTTGTGAAACTCGCAGTCGTTGCTTCAGGAACATGTCCCTTACCAGGCCCTCCGTGCTGTCCCCCTGTCAAAGAGAAATCATGATGGGCGATATCACGACATGATATACCAATTAGCCACCATATCAAAGTTGATGATAAAAAAAAAAAGTTTCAGGCCAACTACGCTCGGCGACACTGACTTTGTTTCAATCTCAATCCGTCAACTTTAAAAATGGCCATAACTGGCCTGCTACTACATTGTGTACTCCGGTTAATAGATGTCATAATAATCTCGCTTAACTTTAAGGTACCTCACATAGGTCACTTAAAGTTAAGTGCATTTTTCTCACTTAACCTTAAACTGGCCTTTGAATACCACTAAAAGACTAAACACTTAAAAGTTAAGACAGCTTAACTTTAAGGTGAAATTTGATACTTAACCTTGCCTTTGAATACCACTTATCCTTAACTTACAGGAAGTTACGTATATTTAAGTGAAATCTAGTAGATAAGTGACTTATCTTAGACTTAAGATATCCTTTGAATATGGACCCAGATGTTTACACTATTTGTGTACCAGGGCCAGCCATTTTGTCCGGCAATTTTGGTCTGATTTTCACGAAATTCGAACTCAATCAACATTCCAGTGTAATGGTGATATATTCAAACGTTTTTAAATCGGATAATAATTGTAACCTCTAAACGGAAATTGATGAAATTCAATAGAATTCTTCTTTTTACTAATCTAAATGACACATATCAAGTTCATATAAATCGGCAGATAACTTTTGATGTTAAAGCATTCACAATGTGCAACAAAATAAAACAAGGGCCATAACTCTAGAAGTAATTAACAGAAATTACTGAAATTCAGTATGCTTCTTTGTTTCACTAACTTAAATAATGCATATAAAATTCACAAAGAGCGGATGATAACGTTTGGCGTTAGAGCGTTTACAAGGTTCAATAAAGTGGAACAAGGGCCATAACTATAGACGTAATGAAAAGAAATTGCTGAAATTCAATAGGATTCTTCGTTTCACTAATTTAATTAATGCATATAAATTTAACAAAGATCGGATGTTAATTTTTAGCGTTAAAGCATTCACAAGGTTAAACAGAGTGAACAAGGGCTATAACTCTAAGAAGTAATAGACGGAAATTGCTGAAATCCAATAGGCTTCTTTGTTTCCTTAATTTAAATATTGCATATAAATTTCACAAAGATCAGATGTTAATTTTTGGCATTAGAGCGTTCACAAGGTTCAACAAAGTGAAACAAGGGCCATAACTCTAGACATAATAAACAGAAATTATTGAAATTAAATAGGCTTCTTCATCTCACTAATGTAAACAACACAGATCAATTTTAAAACAACTAGATGATACCTTTTGTGTTAGAGCGTTCACAACAGACGGACGGGGGCGATGGCAATATACGTCCACATTTCCATGTGGGTGTATAAAAATACATTATCCATAACAAATTACCAAGAATTATTTTGTTCAATGTAAGGGAATTTAAGCTTATAATTAACCCATTTCCTATGTGACCTCATTTGATCCAATTCTGGCCAGTTCGTTTCAAGATAGGTTGCCAGGCAATGTAACATACACCCACAGCAGCTAAATCGTTTGAGCGGTTGACAAGGGTTGTCGCATATTTATTCTTTTGTAGGTGATTAGGGGCCTTTACAAGACAGTTCCATACAGATCAGATTATAATTTTTGCCGTTTGAGGGTTCACAAGGTTCTACATACTAAAACAAGGGTCTCAACCAGGGATCTTAATCAGCTGTTTTTTGTCGGCTTTAGCCGCTTGAAGTTCAATCAAGCCGATTGGTAAAACAATGAACTGGCCACTATACGGTATCATAAATCAATCTACTTTCAGCTAAATTACAATGGATTAATTATTACTTGTTAATTAAGTAGTCAATCAACTTGCTTGTCGGCTACAATAATAGTCATACCTTAGTGAGAATCGGCCATGTGGTTCATAATTCAAGTAATTAGCACGAGTAACGGTAATTTTGATATTCCGGTAAAAAAACAAAACAAGCTTGCTGTTTATTCATAACACATCCAGTAAGTTGCCTTTGAGGAAATAAGCCACGTGACAATCGAAGGAAGACGATCTTGGCATGGATTGTGCACTTATTGCGCACTTTCAACGCTCCGTATGAATTCCAGGTTTACCGGTAGATATTAAAATAATAGCCCAATTGGGTCATAATTTACAATTTCATATTTTTAAGTTATATTTTTAAAATGTATTAAAATAAAGCCCTAAAATAGATGATATCTATAAACAGTCCTACCTTGTTAAAGAATAATACTATTAATTCTATAATTCACTATTGCCAGTTGAGAAATTGGCAAAAATATCATTTTCAACTTCAAATTCAAACGTCTGAAGATAGCTATTCCATGGTGGGGAATAGGAAAACAAGGGAGGTAATTGTGTTATTATTTCCGGTGTGAAGATGTTTAAGCGCTAGAAAGATAACCTATGATCGTATAATAGTGAGTTGACAACCTATTGAGCAAAAGACATAGAAATAATTGTTTTGACTTTCTTAGAAAATATGAAATTGTAACTTTAATGGTTTCACTGACCAGTTGAATATAATACTCGGATAGAACACCGAATACACCGAGAAACCGTCATTAATAATAAATGATGATTCTCCAATGCCGATGACACGCAACATCTTTTGGAATTAGGTCAATAAACCAGCGATGCTAGTTTTAGTTTTAAATAGTGTTTACCATTATGATTTTTTATACACATGCTGAAAGTGAAAGAGGCTTAATTCTTAAAATGTTGTCATTATTATTGAAAGCTATATGGCACAGTGGTATGGAATTTAATTTTAAAGCCATTTCAATTATAGTTGTCACGTGATCACTGTCGTGTGTCTTATCATGGACGAATGAATAAAAACAGTCATTTGCAAGTTACGTGATAGAAAAAAAACCTACAAATTGTGTTATGAAGAAATACCATCCTGGTGCCATATCAGCTTATATCCAACGGAAAAAAACGAATACAGTAATTTATTCAGGAATATTACTGACATGAATTTCAGGCTGATACCTGAATTAAATATGGAAAATATTCCATACGGTGTACCTGTTTGTCATTATTTTCGTGGTAATTACATGTAGTAAAATACGATATTTCTCAGTCATAAAAAATTATCAAGAATTATTTTTGTTGAAGTCTGATTATAATAAAGGGAATGGAAGCTTAAAATTTTAAAACCCAGTTCCTATCAGAACCTCATTTGACCCAATTCTGGCCGGTTTGTTTCAAAATGGATCAAGAACCCTAGTCTCAACTTTGGAAGTAATCTACAGAAATTGTTGAAATTATTGACAGAAATTGCTGAAATGCAATAGACCTCTGTTCCACAAATTCAAATGATGCATATAAATTTCATCAATCGAGCATTATCAGGGTTGAACAAAGTGAAACAAGGGCCATAACTCTAGAAATAATTATTGTAAATTGCTGAAATTCAATAGGCTTCCTGGTGTCATTAATTTAAGTAATGCATATAAATTTCACAAAGATCAGATGATAACTTTCGACGTTAGAACGTTCACAAGGTTCAATTAAGTGAAACAAGCTATAATTCTAGATGTAATAAATTTCATACAGATGGGCAGATGACTTTAGATGGTTAGAGCGTTCTCAAAGTGCAACAAAGTCAAAGTACAGACAGGAATTTCAAATATCTTTTTTTTTTTCATAAGAAATGCAAGTTAAAATGTTTTCATAATGCTGATCAATAACAGAACATACCAGTATGACTTTAGATCCAGCATTTTTCAATGCCTCTACAGCTCCAGCATGTGTTGTAGCAGAAACATCAGCATCATTCACCTTCACTATTATATCATTCATTCTGTAAAATACAAGAATATTACCATGAATTTTATATATAAAGTTTTCATATGAAATCTTGTTTCAGCTTATAATAAGCACATTATCAGGATTATTATCAATAGATGAAAGAGTGGACAATTCAGGTGCAAACAGATCCAACAATGTTAGAAATATACTGAGCGCCATTGAAAACGCATCACTTAGTTTTTCGTATAACAAAATGATCCTGTAAACATATCTTATTTATTTTGCTTCTTATTGTGAACAATATTCAAATGGGAACACACCAATAACAACACATTTGTACACTTACGGATGTTTAATCTGTAATCAAGGGTACAAAGTCAGAGGGGTCAAAACCAAAAGCACAACACAGATGTCAGTAGCGCGTGTGTCCTCCACGGGACATCATCACGGTAGGCTACAGCATTAACGCGACCCCTGAAAATGTGTAGGGCGGTCCGGTGATGAAATGTGAAGCCTCCCCACACCATTACACTTCCCCCCACCCCATCGATCTGTTTCGAAGACGCAGCAGTCTGCAAGACGTTCCCCAAGACGTCTCCACACATGTTAACGGCCATCAGCGTGATAAAGATGAAAGCGACTCTCGTCACTGAAGAGCACACTCTGCCAGTTTACTCTTCTTCATGTCTGGTGTCCTTGAGCCCATATCAAACGCCGCTGACGGTGATGATCCCTGAGGATAGCTCCAACATATGCTCGTCGTGCACGGAGTCCTACTTTTCTTAGACGAGGTCTTACGGTGTTGGCACTTACTGGTCCTTGTCTTCCGTCGCTGGGCGGAATCTGTCACGCAGATGAGTGACCCGGATGTAGAGGTCTTGAGTCTGGGTTGGAACGCGTTGTGGACCAGGACGTTGACGGTCACGTGTTGATCCAGTAACTCGAACACGTTCCACCAACCTTACAATAGTGAACTGATGACAATTGAAGTGTCTGGCAATAGCACGTGTAGACATGCCAGCCCTGGACATTCTCATGGCTTCATTCCGTTGATTTTCAATAAGTCTCGGCATCTCTAGCTCGATTCCTTCACACGTCCAACAACAAATTACGACAGATTGACGTTTCACAGTTCATGTACTGCACATTAAGTTGAAAACATGCTTTTAAAGGGCTCACACACAATGCTGCACGTGAATATTGGGTTTTTCATGTGCATCTCGTGCAATTTTTTTTTTTGCACACAGGCTGATATTTTTTTGTGTTTGGGAGCATTGTGTGAAAGAATAGTTCATAGTATTGCATAATATTATACATACAAAACCACCTAGTAATAAAATATTTGGGAAAAAAAGTGATGCGTTTTCTATGGCGTTCAGTATATTAAAAAGTTTGGTTTTGTACGATGATGAACTACGGCCCTCCTTTATGCTATAGTTCCAAAGTAGATAATTCAAAATTAATACATTGAAAATTTCCTTCAAATTACTTTATTCTAATCAAGTTATGGCTATTTTAGTATGGCAGATTGAACATCAATGATTCATAAAGACAATTATAAAATTAAGAAATTAATTATAAAAAAAATCTTATTATACTTCAACAGTATACTCTTCAAACAAAGGATGTTTTACGCAAAATTGCTTTATTTCAAATTACCAAACATAAATAAAACTAAATTCAGAAAGAAGCTGAATTTAAAAACTTCACCAAAATCTCAGGAAAAATATAATGGGCAACCCTTTTTTTTTATTATTGAATGGGAGATTGGAAACAAGTATTTACTTAATCTGTAACTTCTGGTGCCAAAACCAGATCATAAACCATTATAAAAGGACATTCAATTCCCAAAGCAACTAACCAGAACAAAACAAGCAAATTGAACATTTTTCATTCATCCACCAATTCAAAATACAACTTAATTGCCAATTCAGAAAACTAGCGCAATGATTACTCCCTCTAGTGCCACTCATCAATTGTCCTGGACAACCAGTTGTAAGATTACAACATGTAAATGACAAGTCAATAAAAGTAATTTACCTGAAAATACGGACTTCATAGAGTATCGGAAACATGTTGGCAGCTCCAATGATACTTTTTACATGGTCAATGCCAAGGTGAAAAGGCTGCTATACAAAACTAAATTAGTTTCTTGATCTCGGTGGAGATTATATGCCTCTGTTAACGACATATCAACAATCGTGAATAAATATAGTGGCAGATCTCTAGATTGTTAAGTCTTCGTCGTCAGCCAGCCACAGTGAATTTAAATCAATTATTCCTTCAGAAATCACTAAATCACACTGACGGGACTGTCGGACAGAATTCAGTCATGTAAGAGATCCCTTGGGTAGAAACTAACTCATCAAGTAATAATAGGTATTGTCTGTACGACTTTACACCTTACACTATAGGCTTTCAATCCGTCACTTATTACTAAATTCAAAACACAAAGTTAAGTCGTTTCCACTCATTTACTGGGGTTCTCTACCGATAATGACGATTGGCTATTCCAAGTATATAATAAAGTTGTGATAATACACTAGTCTACTTGATTTCTACAGACGCCAGTCATTATCTCACCCCTAAACTAAATATCTTTTCCTTGTCCACCCATCTAAAAAATCTTTCAAAAGAAGTCGTAACTAGGCAAGATGCGGAGAAGATTGAAAAGAAAAGCTCAATGAATACCAGCTAATATAAGAATATTAAAAGAGAGATAGTATCAACGACAACTTGATTGACGGCAGATAGTCATTTCACTAGGCTTTTACAAATTTATTTTACTGGAAAAATAAGTGTTCAGAAAAAAAAAATCACATTAAAGCTAAAAACTATCTCTCTTAAATCTTGGGCTGAAAAAAACTGGTGCTTGATGTTAACTAATAGGAGCTCGTTAGAGAAAAAGACAACTTCATTAATTCTAGCGTCTGATGCAACTTCACAAACTCAACCATGCCAGTAATTCAAGGATTGAGTTTTCCACATCCGTTTGTTGACATTAATCTACCAAGGGACTTAGAATGTTATTTTTTATGCCAGATGACTGAAATTCATATCATCAATACGTGCATAATCCTTAAAATAAACTTCACTATTAAGATCTATTTTAAGAGAAAATTTTTAATCTGTAATTTGTGCTTATTTATGGGTGTTCTTGAGGTAAGAGAAACCAGCGGCTGCCAGGCAGGATACGCACACATTTTGTAAAAGATGGATAGACAACAAGCTAAAAACAAACGTGATTTTTTGTACAATCAGGGGCAATAATCCAGAACATTATGGCCTGAAATATGCAAATATCAAAAGGGACAGAGATTAAGTTTCATCAAAATCGGATAAAAATTGTGACCTCTAGCAGGTCCACAACCTTCGTATTTCACACTTCTACACAATTTGCGTACAAAGAGCGGCCCTTTTGTCGGGCAGTTTCATTCGATTTTCCCGAAATATGAATTCAACCTTCATTATGATGGGATGGTGATGTACATGTATCTAAACGGTTTTTAAAATCGGAAAAAAAATGGGACCTCAAGCTAAAAATGCGATTTTTCGAACAATCAGGGGCCATAATCCAGGAAGTTAAGTTTGGGTATCCGCGATTATCAAAAGGAACCAAGATCTCTACAGGGACCACAAGCTAAAAAACTTGATTTTTTGTTCAATCAAGGGCCACAATTCAGGAAGTTATGATCTGATATGCGTGAATATCGAAAGAAACTAATATCTTTGGGTTATAAACATGTATTTCAAGTTTCATCGAAATCGGGTCAAAATTGTGACCTCTAGAGGGTCTACAACCTTGATTTACCAAATGTTTACACTATTTGCGTGCGGGGGCGGCCATTTTGTCCGGAAGTTTTGACCCGATTTTCACGAAATTTGAACTCAAAAAACATTACGGTGACCTCTAGAGGGACCACAAGCTAAAAACATTATTTTGCGTACAATCAGCAGAGGCCATAATTCAGATGAATATTGTGACCTCCAGAGGGTCCACAACCCTGATACACAATATTGTGACACTATTTGCGAGCGAGGGGTGGTCATTTTGTCCTTAGGAGGAAGTAACGGTGATATATTCGAACGCTTTTTTAAATCAGATAAAAATTGTGACGTCTATGGGGTCCACAAGTTAAAAATGTGATTTTTCGTACAATCAGGGGCCATAAATCAGGAAGTTATGGTCCGATATGCGCAAATATCGAAAGGAACCGAGATCTGGAGGTTATAAACATGCATTTCAAGTTTCATCAAAATCAGATGAAAATTGTGACCTCCAGAGTGTCAACAACCCTGATACAGAATATTTTGACACTACTTGCGAAGGAGGGGCGGCCATTTTGTCCGTCAGTTTCGGTCCAACGGTAGGGTGTAACGGTGATATATTGTAACAGTTTTTTAAATCGGATAAAAATTGTGACCTCTATGGGGTCCACAAATTAAAAATGCAATTTTTCGTACAATCAGGGGCCATAATTCAGGAAGTTATGGTCCGATATGCGTGAATATCGAAAGGAACCAAGATCTGTGGGTTATAAACATACATTTCAAGTTTCATCTAAATCAGATGAAAATTGTGACCTCCAGAGGGTCAACAACCCTGATACAGAATATTTTGACACTATTTGCAAACGAGCGACGGCCATTTTGTCCGTCAAGTTTCGGTTCGATGGTAGGGTGTAACGGTGATATATTGTCGGTCCGCCGGTAGGGTGTAACGGTGATATATTGTAACGTTTTTTTAAATCGAATAAAAATTGTGACCTCTATGGGGTCAACAAGTTAAAAACGTGATTTTTCTTACAATCATGGACCATAATCCAAGAAGTTACAGTTCGATACATTCCAGTTGTTGCCAGGCAAGATATGCCCACATTTTGCAAGAGATGGACAGAGATTAAGCTAAAAAAGAGAGTGATTTTTTGTACAATCAGGGGCAATAATCCAGGAAGTTATGGTCCGATATGCAAGAATATCGAAAAAGAACGAAGATCTTTTGGATATAAACATATGTTTTAAGTTTCATCAAGCTTGTTACCATATTACATA